TATTTAGGAGTCCAAACCCCGGACATTAATCTGACCCCTCTCTGTAGACTCTTTCCCCCCTAGAATCATCACTCCTTATGTTTCTATAATTTCAGTTACAACGTTGTTCTAAACTAAGTGTAGGAGCAGGAATGGGCCACTGAGCATGTTTTCTGATCCAGCAGACTGGGTAAAGGAGGAGAGAGTCCTGGAGCCCTCAGTGGCTTTTGCAAGCTTTTATTGTGATTTACCCAGTACATGGCAGGCAGGGGTGCTGGTGGGTGTGGGGGGGGGGCGCCGAGAGGCTGGCAGGCCTCCCAGCCCCCAGCAAGTCTTCACTCTGGGCTCTTCTTATTCAAAGAAGGCTCTCTCCTTCTTTCACGTTCTGCTTGTTCTTCTCATGGCTCTGCTTCTCCCTCGGCTTCTCTGCTCCCGCTGCTTCTCTTCTCTTGGCTTCTGCTGGCATCCCCATGACGCCGCCCTTAAAAGCCCAGTCTTAGCCCAGGTGAATCCCATCTACCTATGCCCACACCCTATTCCAGGTGCCTGCCATCAGGCATGCATTCAGGACCACAGGGTTCCGTCATCTAGCCTGATGGCGGGAGGTCAGAAAAGCCTGATACTTTTACCTTACCCTACACTAAGAAATAAAATAGCCTGAAAATGACTTTGTCATCATTGTTTGGGAAACTAGAGGAAAACTAATCAAAAAATTCTAAATATAAGCAAAAAATTAAACTTAAGAAGATCCAAGATAATGTTCAGAGTGGTATGGAGAATTAAGTTAGGCTGGTAACAGGGTTTCTGTGCAAGCAGTGATGGGAAGTGGAGCTATGAAATACATTGAGTCAATTTGTGGAGGATTTAAAAGCCAAGCTAATTCTTTCACTCTTGCATTGTCCATGGAGACCAAGTGGAAACACCTGGAAGCTGAACATGAATGGATCGAAGATGAAGTTTCAGGGGGAACTTTTTAAGTACATTTAACCAAACGTCTGAGCAAAGGGCAGACTTTCAGAGCAAGTTAGAAATCTCCATTTAGAGGAGAGCCCCCATATGAGGCAGAAGTTTGTGGAGGAGATGGAATAGGAACATGCAACAGGTTACTTGGAATCCAAGAGATGGAAAATCTAGACAATGTGCTTACGGGGCTGGACAACCAGGAATAACCTCTAAGAAGAAGGACTGTAAGTGTTGGTCATTGCAGCTTGGGGAAAGGTAATAAAATACTGAGAGAAATTAGGCATGTTGCAGTTGACTACACAGTACTAGAAATAACTGCAAAGGGAATGGAAATAGGATATATAGATACATTGGGTAGGCAGCAAGATCAAGTGATGAATTTTTTAATTAATAATAAAAAGCATAAATAGGAAAGACCTGACAAATTTATTAGCAGAAGGAAAAGAATCTGGAAAGAGAAACTGAAGACAATTATGGGAGAAAGATTGCAATTAAAAACATGAAGAAACTCCATTTGTGGGAAAGAATAAATTAACTTCACAAGCAAGGGTTACATCTTCCAAAAGGGGAGGAAAGAAGCAAAAACAGGAGGGAGAGCATATCTCCCACAGTAGCAAGGACAGAAAATGAAGATTTGTGCAGACTCTCTGCTGCTTGGGCCCTGGGACTTAAGGAGAGGTCATGATAACTACCTCCAAAGTGGGATATCTGTAACTCTGGGAGCACAAAGCATGTAGTGTTTGAAGGAAGTTGATATCCTGATCCTATACTTCCTCTGGACTAGCTGGAAAAAGCCCCTGTGGTTAGGCACATGTCACTATTCTTTGTTTACTCCTCCTCATATCACTCTATTCCTTCTCTTCCTCCAAACTGAGCAAATCTTTCATCCATCCCATACATTGCCTGACTGTAAAAATCTCAGGCTCATGAAACAAAGGAAAACTTCAACCATTCTTTTCATTAAGTAGCCATGTATCCATTCCTATTTGTGCAATGATGAAATAAATGCCTTCCCAATAAAATGTTTGCTTAATAAATATTTCTCAAAATGTGTCATTTATGTATGATGTTTTGAGAGATTCTTTAGTTATATAAGGCCCATGATAACCCAGTCCACAAAAAATGTTTTAACAATATAGTCTTTTAATGACAGTAAATAACAAATGAATAAATAAAATACACATGCATTTTTGTAGAGAACTCTGATAGAGTGATAAATAATTGATATCAAGCATTAAAGTACCTTACAAAAAAATTGGGGCAAAGCAGAAGGAATATAAGCTTAGGAAATAAAAGGGATGATAAAAAATTTCTGTGTTGAAAAGGCTTTGTCAATGTGGTTTTTAAATGGATTGTGATAGGTGGCAAGTCACTATATTTCTATTACACTGGATTCATTTAAAGGATGATGCAACCATTTTCTTTGAATGTCAATATTACAATATGCAAAAAATACATATTTTAACTATTTAAACTTTTGCTGAAAACTTTCATAAGTTTAATCTAAATGCATGAGGATGTAAACAAATTTTCTAAATTGTTTTAGGATATACACCAGTTTAGACCACTGTGGTCTTCTTGGGAAACAAAAAGATGTAAATGAAGGAATTAATGGGCAAAAATGCATGCCCAGTTGAAGTTAACATAAATGTGTAGTAAATCAGGTCAGCAAAGCTCAAGCATTTTTTTTTTGACAATTATCTATAGTCCTGCAGCAAAAATGAAGCCTGAATATAGCAATGATAGAAAATTAAGCACAGCAGGATGATAGGAAGACATTGAATATTAACAAAAAGATGTTAAAATAGTTGCATGATATCTAACTTGGTTAGGGAGAAAGTAAGACCAAAATTGGTTATAGTGGAGAGGGAGGAAGAGGGACCAAAACAGGAAGGAAGAGCACAAGAGTCTATGGTCATGGTTCATGGGTGTCTTGGTGGTGGTAATTTTATGGGGACAAGACCTGAGAGGAGAAATAAAAAATGAACAATGATGTAATAAAACGAAAAAAAAAAAAAAGTTGTTTGCAGAATAGAGTAAGTAGATAGGGCTCCCATAACTGAAGGCTGAATTAGAGTTGCAGAAAGGGAAAGAGAGTCGAAGGGGCATGTCAATTCCAAGCTTTTTGAAAGCAGAGCAGTGCAGTGTAACAAGGTTATTACTTGTGTTTGTTATTAGAATATGGAGATTTTCATGACAAGGTGGTCAAGGACTCATGAGGCTAAAGGCCAACACAGATATTGAAATATTTGAACTGTCTAGAGACAGCTGTCAGGGAGTGCCCGGTAAAGAGCAAGATTGTAAGCAAATTCTTCACTAGTTTGCTGGTATTGGACGAGACCTCGTAGAGAAATGATGCTATAAGTGGACAGTACGGACCTTCAGAGCCAAAGAGTTTCATGTTCTAAAAGTGACACAAGGATTTGCACAGACAACATAAACTCTCGCACTCTACATCGGTTGTGAAGAAATGGAACGTTATTTTCCATATCTTATCCTGCTCAAGAGCAATGATTTATATTGAAAACAAAAGAAAAAGGAAACAAAAAGTCTTAATCCCTCTCTCACTGCAGCTCAGTTCCTCCTGTTTCACAACTTGGTCTATTTCGATGAAAGTGAGTCCTAATTAAGGATTCTCTCAGGAGGTGGGCTAAGTTTCTACAGTTAATACCTAGTGTTGTCCAGGCATTAGGGAAAAGGTGTATCTGTTCCAGTGGTTAATTACAATGTCATATTTCTTTCATCTCGAAGCATTTGGTATTTATTAATTGATCCAGCCAGGAACCTCTGTGGCTGTCCTTACTGACAGTTTCTCAGGCTCAAGCAAACTCCCTTCCAGAAACTGAAGAACTGACAACACGAGATGGGGTCTAACCCCCACTGGTCATGTATATTCTGCAATGGCAAGCTTCAGACGCCATCTCTATACTCAATTTTAGGCAGGAAAAGAAAGCACTGAGCCCATTTGAATTCCCTGGGGGTCTGCTACTGCCTTGAAACAAGTTGCTTTTTCTGTCTTTTTGGTTTAAAATCTATTGTTGGTTCAACTGGCTGTGATTCTGGATCATCTGAACCAGATTGCCCTGAGAATCCAAATTAAATAATTTTCTCTCATGTACTGTCCTGCAATTCAAAAATCAGATTTTCCAGGTCCTATTTTGGAATCCAGAGTCAAGTGCCTTTACATGTGAAGCATCTCCCATGAGGACAATGAATATAGAAAGCTTTTGCTTCATGACTGGCAGAGAGCAAGAAATCTGTCCCAGCATACCAAGGAAATAGCACTTTGCTGTCTCTGAAAGATGCCTTTCCGCTTTTGAGGGGGAGGCCATTAACAGTAGCCTGAGGAGGTCTCAAAGTGACACAATAATGTGGACCACAGTGCCTTTTGGGGGAATAAGCTTCCATCCAGGCATATAAGTGCTGGTGAAGAAGGCAAGAAGACAAGGTTCTCATGAGCCAGTCAAATCCTTTCTTCTAAGGTTAGCGTACTCTCCTCAGGGTGCCCAAAGGGGACTCAAAACCAAGAATTTAATGCATCTTTCTCTCAAAACTGTCTTCAACATCAAAGGCATGACCCATAAAAGAAATAGTTGATAAGCTAGACTTCATTAAAATGAAAAAAAAAAAAAAACCTGCTGTTCTGCAAAAACCAAAAACAATGTTAACAAAATTAAAAGATAAGTAACAGACTGGGAGAAAAATATTTACAAAAGACACATTTTGATAATGGGCTGTTATCTGAAATATTCAAAGAATTCTTAAAACTCAACAATAAAAAAAAACAATACAATTAAAAATAGGCAAAAGACAGCAGATACCTCACCAAATATTAAACAGATGGCAAATAAGCACATGAAAGATATTTAACATTGTATGTCCTTAGGGAAATGCAAATTAACATTTACAACAAGATACCACTACAAACATACATTTTTTTTTTTTGCTTTTCTTTTTATGTATAAAACAGCTTTCCCTTAAATGCTACTCCCCTGCAGGTTGTTGATGCATTAGCGCTTCAGTAAAAATTAAGCGCTCTAGTTTACAGTGCAAGTGGTGCCACTCAGAATTTTAATGGTTTCTCCACTAATCCATGAGAAAGAAGGAATTCCATTTTTTAGACCACTGCCATAGTACATAGCAATTACAATGGTCATAATCCAGAACATTGACAGATACCTCACCAATGCTGACAGGAAAAAAAGAATGCAGAACAACTAAGCTCTCATTCGTTGCTAAAGAAAATGTAAGATAGCACAGTCACCTTGGAAGATAGCTTCTCACAAAGCTAAACTTACATCTACCATACAATTGAGCAGTGGCAATCCTTGGTATGTACCCTAATGAGTTGAAACTCTTGTTGACCCAAAACCAGCACAAAAATGTTTATAGAAGCTATATTCATAATGCCAAATCTTGGAAGTAACCAAGGAGGTGAATGTTTAAAGAACTATGGTCCATTTAGACAATGGAATATCATTCAATGCAAAAAAGAAATGCATTATCAAACCACAAAAAGATGTGGGGGGATTTTCAATGCATATTACTAAGTGAAAGAAGTCAGTCTGAAAAGGCTACGTGTTGTACGGTTGCAATTATGACAGTATAAAGAGATAAAATGGTGGACACCATAAAAATATCAGCCCCACCCAGGGGCTGCAAGGAGGGAAAGACGAGCCATACAGCATGGAGGATATTTAGTGAAACGCTTCTGCCTGTATTACATTGGTGAATAGACATCACTGTCCATTTGTCTAAACCCACATAATGCACAACACTAAGAGTGACCCATACCTGTGGGGAGGGGAGCTCTATGTGCCAATGTGGGTCCATCTACACTAACGAATGCGCCACTCTAGTGAGGGATATTGACAGTAAGGGTGTGTGTGTGTGTGTGTGTGTGTGTGTGTGTGTGTGTGTAAGAGAGAGAGAAATAGAGCGAGAGAGACAGCAGGAGGTTTGATGGGAAATCCCTGTCTCTTCTCTCAATTTTTCTGTGAAACTAAATAGTCTCTTAAAAATAAAATCTATTAATTTTTTAAAAAGTATTTTCCTCAGTTATCTCCAATCTAGGTGAATGCATCATTGCCCACACAGTTGCCCAAGTCAAAAACTCAGGCAACGTACTTGATTTCTCTTTCCGAACAACAAATTAATCCCCAAGGACGTAAGTCCATTTTCAGCAGCTCTGGAAGTTATCACCTACTTTCTTCTGCAATCTTTCCCCTGGCCACATCATACTTCTTTCAGATTCTTAACACATTTCCCTCCCCACTTTCACATCGTTTCCTGTTGCATTCTCCCAGGACTCCCCCTTTTTAAAGGATTTATTTATTTATGCATACAAGAACTGGGATACAGGCCAGAGGTGTGTGGGTGAGGGGGGTAAGAAGATTCACCAGGACAGAGTGGGGACCAGAACAGGCAGAATGACTGAAATACACTGCTGAGGGGAGCAGAGGGCGAGACAGGAGAGGTCTGCTGCCCTATGTGGGTTGCTCCCTAGCTGGGGATAGTGCTCATACTGCAGTGGCTGCACACAGTTTCATAGGTTGTGTCTTAAACCCCTGCATCACCAGGGAGGCCCCCCAGGACTCTTTCTTTTTACCTACCTGTCCCTTGCAACTTTTGGGACATCAACCTGATCATTTTTTTCCCAGGAAACCTTCCCTAGGTCATCCCCAATTCCAGTTAGGACCTAAAGGCAATACTCTCCTTGCCCTTGAGGCAACACTTCTGTCCACAGAAGCAACTGACACTTTTCATCTTCATCATAAATTTTCCACTTAGGTCCTTCCCCACCAGCTGACGAGCATGGCAAGGCAAGAACTGACCTCAGTCTTGTGTGCTATTAGCGTCTAACACATTGTCTTACATTAAGCAGACGTTCAATAAATACTCACCAAATGAAGGAATAAATCAACAAATGAAGGGAAATGTGGCATGAAGATAGTGAGACACCCCCTCCTATGCTAGAGAGGGAAAGAGAGTGAAGAGAAGAATCAATACAGAATTAGATACTCAAGAAAGAACTGTGGTGAAGGCTATGAGGAGTAAGAGATAAAACAGGGTGCACAGGGTGATTCCATGTCTAGTTCATTAAACACAAATAATTATGTGTACAAAAGCATTAGCATAAGCAAACAAATGGTTTACTTAGCATTAAGAAAATGATTCAAAAGCATCACCAGTTAAAGTTGAAAGAATGTTCAAGAGAAGAGAAACCAAAAGTCTCTGGAGACCTTTGAACCAAAGAAAGTCCCTGAGAAAACCCCCAACAGCTCCCCTCTACTCTGTGCAGCCCCCAGTTATATACTTCCAGGTGGGTGGTGGGTAAGGGGAGGCACAGTGATGCCAACTAGAGAATCTGAACAAAGCTGAGGAGCTTTAATAGACTAACAGGATAGGGGCCTCTCCTGGTGGCACAGGTGGTTGAGCGCAGCCCTGCGAAGCTGTGCACAGCCACTGCTGCGCAGGCTCAATCCCAGCTGGGCAGGGAGATACCCACATGGCGCAGAAGACCTCTCCTGCCTTGCCCGTTGCTCCTCTCAGCAGTGCATTTCAGTCAGTCTGCCTGTCCTTTTCCCCACTCTGTCTCTGCTGAATCCTCTCACCCTCCCGCACACCTGGCCTGTACGCCAGTTCTTGTAGGCATGAATAAATAAATCTTTAAAAAAATCATAAAAAAAGAATACCAGGACTGGGGAGTACTGCATGCTTTCAGGCTATGGATGGTGCCTTGTAGGGTAAAACAAGATAACGAGGATGCTTATAATTTATTAGTGAGAAATATGGTTGTTTCCCTGTTGGTTACAGGGTTGATCACAATTTTCTGTACTTTCTCTCCATTTATATGGTCAGCCAACTTAGGGACTTGGAGAAGGACAGGCTGCTGCCATGGGTGCAGGAGTTGAACAGGAGGTGCTGGGGTGGAAAAAGCAAACCACTGTGCTGGACTAGAATTTGGTGCCATTTCATCTAGGAATAGTCAATGGAGAAAAATGTGCCACATTGTGTGAGAAGTTGCAGAGAGGAAAAAGAAAAAGCTTATTTTCTAATTGTATGCAGATCCATCTGGTGAGGGAGATCTGTCCCAAGCTGGCCTGAGGGATAGAAGAGGTATTGCCCAGGTGACCACCCGCCCCAGGCCATGCCCCACTTCTCCAAGACCAAGTGAACTCAGTTCTCACTAAGCACAACCCTGCGCCTCAGGGTACTTGCTCCCACCTTTGAGGGGCCCTTTCCTCCCTCTACAATAATCCTGCCTCTGGGAGTTGGACTGGAAGTTACTAACCTGAGCAAACTGAGGAATACAATCCCGCCACTTGGTTTGTAGCATGTAAGTAAATGGCACATGGAAAACAGTGAGTTACTACTGCATGCTCTTGGAATAACCAAAGTCCCGAATGCTGGTGAGGATGTGGAGCAAAGGACCTCTCCTTTATTGCTGAAGGGAATGAAAAATGCACAATGACTTGGAAGATGGCTTGGTGGTTTCTCAAAAAACTAAACAGAGTCTTATCAAATGAGCCATCCATCCAATTGCATGACAATTGGAAAAAACATCCATCATCACGTTGGAGAGAGTAAAATGATGAGAGGTTTCTGGGAAAAAGGGGTAGTGGGAGGGAGGTTATGTGAATTAATTTGAAAAAATGAAAGAGGATTTTTTTAGGGCAGTGAAACTATTCTAACATTGCAGTAGTTGGTATATATAATTATACTTTTAGCAAAACTCAGACTGTCAACACTAAGAGTGAACCATAAAAGCAACTATGTACTTTAGTTAATAATAATATATCTATACTGGCTCATCAATTATAATAAATGTTCACATTACTACAAGATGTTAATAGCAATGAAAATAAGGTGGGGATGAACATGTGGCGGAACTGTCTGTGGGAGCTCAATATACTTTCCACTCAATTTTTCTATAAATCTGAGACTGCTCTAAAAAATAAAATCTATAATTTTTTAAAAGATGTAACAATGCCACAATCTCAAAAGCTGTCTAGACTTTATCACAAAAGATGGTTTCAAGTACTTTGTTAAGAACATTCATAATAAAGATATGGAGATATTTTTGCAAAATAAAAGGCCATGGATGATTATATTTAAAAATGAACTAGGAGTGAACATTTGAAGTACCAGCTCTTCATATTATGTTACTTCAGGTAGGTGAGCTCACCTCTCTAAACCGCCAATGCTTTTAAAATATTTTTATTAAAGCAACAGTGCATTATAGTATTATATAAGTGTCAGGTGTGGGTCACTGAGAATCAACGTGTATATATACCACAACGTGTGTATATACTTTACCACCGAAAGTCCATTTCTCTACTTCACTTTATTACAGTCCTCTTTGTCCAATATATCCATCTCTTTGTCTCTTTTCCTTCTGGTAAATACTGCTTGATCTTGTGGTCCAAATTTCTGTCTTTTTTAACTTAGTTTATCTGTTAGTTTTCCCTGTGTACCACCTGAGTGATATCACACTGTATTAGTTTTTCTCTGACCCATTTCACTAAGCATAATTCCCTCTAGGGACATCTGTGTTGTAAATGGCAGGATTTCATCTTTTTTTTTTTTATAGTCTCACTTTTTTGAGAGAAAAAGATGACAATGCAGTAAATATTTTAAACTAGATATATGTGTTTAACATAATTTATTTTTTTAAGTGACCTGACATTTAAATTTTTTTCAAATAATTTTGAAACATATCACTTAAAGATTGCTTAAAGATAATCCAATGTTAAGTTGCATATTTAGGAAATTTTCCATATAAAAAATCAAATCAAAAGCAATTACACATCAAATTAAAATATGCAATTTTAACTTTTTACTGTCTACCTTAGGCTCACATGATACCACCTAACATAAAATCCTTACAATAGGCACTTCCATTTACTCCCCTCATAATACATTTACTACTACATGTGTTCTAAATCATACAATCTCTTGTAATCATTTTGGCTAAACTGTCTATTATCTTTTCAGTCCATTAATAGTGAGGAAAAATACCTTATATTTGCTAAATATTTACCATTCATTTCTGACATTCTTCATTACTATGAATAGATCCAAATTTGCATCCAATATCATTTTCTACAACACGAACTTTCTTCATCATTTCT